AGCTCTAGACGTCTCTAACGTCGGCAGCTCTAGACGTCTCTAACGTCGGCAGCTCTAGACGTCTCTATCGTCGGCAGCTCTAGAAGTCTCTAACATCGGCAGCTCTAGACCTCTCTATCGTCGGCAGCTCTAGACCTCTCTATCGTCGGCAGCTCTAGACGTCTCTATCGTCGGCAGCTCTAGACGTCTCTAACATCTCCAGCTCTAGACGTCTCTAACATCTCCAGCTCTAGACGTCTCTGTCGTCGGCAGCTCTAGACGTCTCTATTGTCCGCAGCTCTAGACGTCTCTATCATCGGCAGCTCTAGACGTCTCTATCGTCGGCAGCTCTAGAAGTCTCTAACATCTCCAGCTCTAGACCTCTCTATCGTCGGCAGCTCTAGACCTCTCTATCGTCGGCAGCTCTAGACGTCTCTATCGTCGGCAGCTCTAGACGTCTCTAACATCTCCAGCTCTAGACGTCTCTAACATCTCCAGCTCTAGACGTCTCTGACGTCGGCAGCTCTAGACGTCTCTGACGTCGGCAGCTCTAGACGTCTCTATCGTCGGCAGCTCTAGACCTCTCTAACATCTCCAGCTCTTTGATTCTGAGCAGGTCCTCAGAAAGAGTCCATCATGATGTGTAACCAGCGTCTGCCTCCTTTCCGCAGTCCGTGAGCCTCTGGGAACGCCATCATGACCTCAGACGCTCTGGGCCCAGCCGCGGATCTCAGGGTGAGGACCTTCACTCCATCCAGAGAAGAGTTTGCGGACTTTGTTCGGTATGTGGCCTTCATGGAGTCCAGAGGAGCACACAGAGCTGGGATGGCCAAAGTAAGCAGACCTTCCTTCACGTGGCGCCATGTGATGATCTCTGTCCTGAATGGAACACAGAGCGTTTAGCAGGAACCTTAGTGAGGAGGGGCCCCTGTTGTAGACCCTTAGATCCATGGACCTCCCGATGACCCGGTCCATGGATCGCCTACATCTTCTCCCTTAGTTTCGTTTTTATTCGATGATGATGTAAAAGTGTTCAGCATTATTGTCTTCAAACCTTTTTAAATGTCTGTTTGTTGACATGGAAACAGGGACCAGAACCCTGGATGCGAGGGGTTCTGTCAGTCTCACCTGTGCCTGCTGCTCTTCATCATCAGATCATTCCACCTGAAAGCTGGTCGCCCAGGGAGACGTACGACGGCGTGGGGGAGCTGCTGATCCCTGCCCCCATCCAGCAGGTGGTGACGGGTCAGTCGGGCCTCTTCACTCAGTACAACATCCAGAAGAAACCCATGACGGTCCAGGAGTTCCAGAAGACCTCTGGCCTGGAGAAGTCTGTAGTCATGGCGACCTGCTGCTTTGCTGTGAGGTAGAAGGGGGGGGTGTGCTGCGGTGGGTCTGACTGTCTGCACATCTGTTCACCTCCAGGTTCTGTAGGCCCACATGTGTGGACTCTGAGGAGCTGGAAAGGAGGTTCTGGAAGAACCTGACCTTTAACCCCCCGCTGTATGGAGCTGATGTCAGCGGGACACTGTTTGACCCAGTGAGTGGCAGCTAAGTTCAACCAGCCTCTGGTTCTGGTTCTGGTTTTCCTCAGGTATCGTTTCCTGTGGATTCTTGTCCTGCAGGACTTGTCTGAATGGAACCTGTCCCGTCTGAACACCATCCTGGATGCGGTGGAGACGGAGGACGGGCTGAAGATCAAAGGCGTCACCAACCCCTGTTTGCACTTCGGGATGTGGAAGAGCGCCACGGCCTGGCACACGGAGGACATGGACCTGTACGCCGTCAGCTACCTGCACTACGGACAGCCCAAGTCATGGTCAGTAGCTCCAGAACCTCACAGACTCGTCCTCTCTTTGGGAGCTGAAGCTGAGAACAGAGGTTAAGGTTCAGTACTGGACCTGGACCTGAGGTCCTGATGGTCTGATCCATTCGCTGAAAGGTTCCTTTCCAGCTGAGGGACGGTACTTCTTGCTGATTGGACGCTTGAAGCTGGTCTCAGTGCTGTGCTACTCTGAGTAGATGTCAATAACTGTCTCCATGTCATGCAGGTATGTTGTCCCTCCAGAATATGGCAGGAAGCTGGAGCGCCTAGCCAGAGGTAGGAGCTGAAAACACGTCTTCCTCTGTTATTTGAACAGTTTCAGCGTAATTCGTGTTGGGGAGGGAACTCAGATGTCCGTCTACGGTCCAATCGGCTCAGAGAAAATGAGCAAAGAGGCTCAGATTCCAGCAAGGCGACACCAAGCTCTAAACTCAACTGCAGCCGACTGATCAATTAATCAGATGATTATTTTTTTAGTAATCACTTAACACCAGGACTCCCAGAATCCTGATCCTTCTAGAACTCCCAATGGCCCTCAATTTGACGGGTGACATTTTTCCCAAAGGAACGCATTAGTAGTGATGATGTCATCAACTGAATGGTTTTACTGTGCGATATAAACCCTTTGTAGATATGTAGACCTTCAAATACAGCCGTAGGGAAGTCATATTTAAATGTCAAATCATTCTGGCTTAAATATTTATATAAATGTATTCTAAAAGACGATATTTTGTTTATAAAAAAAAAATTCTTTCTTAAAATCTGTGTTTTTTTTTGCGTTATCTTCTGCAGGCCAGTTAGTTCTACGTCAGCCTGAACACCTAAATTCGGCCAATCATATATCAACGGTCATCTGTCAATCAAATGTTTTCGGTCATAGCATCTCGATTCATGTGTCGCAGCTAATATACGCAATGGTTGAAATGATACAGGTGTATTGTTGGAGAGCGAATTGTTGGCCATTTCTCATTTCACCAGAACACGAGTGCGGACTCGTGTTCTGGCCAAGTCTGTTCTTGACAAAAACACAGGAAAGTCTGGACTTGGGGAGAACGGGAGCACGCAGAACAGATGCGTACTGATGACATCACCACATTAAAAATAATACAATCTAAATAATAATAAATTATGTCTTTTTTTCATTTAGTGGAGAAATAATAATGAACACAGTCAGATAAACACAAATCAAATGAACATTTTGCCAAATAAAACAATCAAATCTCCATCAGAGCCAGCGGTACTTCACACACGGCTATGCAGAGAGAGGGCTACAGAAGGGCTGACGTTAGCACCGTCCGCTGCAGACGGGCTGACGTTAGCACCAGCCGCTGCAGACGGGCTGACGTTAGCACCGGCCGCTGCAGANGTTAGCACCGGCCGCTGCAGAAGGGCTGACGTTAGCACCGGCCGCTGCAGACGGGCTGACCGGCCACTGCAGACGGGCTGACGTTAGCACCGGCCGCTGCAGACGGGCTGACGTTAGCACCGGCCGCTGCAGACGGGCTGACCGGCCACTGCAGACGGGCTGACGTTAGCACCGGCCGCTGCAGACGGGCTAATGTTAGCCCTGGCTGCTGCAGACGGTCTAGGAACACAGTTGGCTGCCGATGCCCTCAGAGCTCCGCTGGTTGCCATGGTCCTCTCAACGCATTAGATTACCCATTAAATCCGTAAATGTGCCATATAGTTAAGCTTAAAGTATAATGTTCTGGCCTCAAAAGATCTCAAAATGAACTTTTTTCAATAATCAATCACAACAATCCCGCCCGCTTGATAATTGATCAATCACATTCCCTTTTTTCACTCGTCGGGCACCACTCGGGAGAATTCAGAAATGCAACGGTTGGAACAGTCGCTTTCCTACGACTTTAAAACCTCCACTGGAAGACGAGCTTCCTGTAGCAGTGGTAGCTCTGCTGTTGGCTCCACCTACTGGTCTGTGGTCCTCGGCCGTTTAGAGCGGCGACTGCGGTCCTTTGCGTATCCAGGGATGCACACGGTCCTGTTTCTCAGTCAGATGATGGAAGGAGGCCATCACAGTCTAGAGTTGGATGTTTAGACCGGAGGGTCTCCGATGTGCTGCTGCTGCTCCTGTTGGGGTCTGGAGGTCTTAGCTGAGATGTTTCCTGCTCCCCCAGGCTTCTTTCCAGGGAACGCCCAGAGTTGCGATGCCTTCCTGGGCCACAAGATGACCTTGATTTCACCCTCCATCCTTAGAAAATACGGCATCCCATACGAGAAGGTAACCCTCTCCATCTTCTTTGTTCTGTGAAATGATTCTGATGGCTGAGTTAGAGGGGTGAGGCTTAAGGCTTCAGGTGATTTCCCTCCGTAGATGAAGGATGAGCTCCCTGTCTATCTGAAACGTGTCTGATCTGCTCTGACCTTTGATCCCTGGGGAACAGGGAAATAACTCTCCTGTTTTTCCTCCGTCTGGTGTTTTTCTTTATCAACTTCATCTTCCCTATCCATGGCAGGTCACACAGGAAGCCGGCCAGTTCGTGGTGACCTTCCCGTTTGCCTACCATGCTGGTTTCAACCATGGCTTCAACTGTGTGGAGTCCACCAACTTTGCCATGCAGCGCTGGATCGATTATGGAAAACGAGCTAAACTGGTACGTCACATGTCGTCTCCGAAGAGACAACAGCCCAGGATGTGAGGATGGAGGTCACCGAGGACGGTGGGACATGGCGCCATGTTCCTCAGAGTTTTCAGTGTTCTTACAAACAGCAGGTTTCACCATGTTAGCCATGGTTGGCGTGCTAGTTTCTGGTTGGCGGGCTAACCCTTGGTTGCCATACTAGCCTCTGGTTGGCAAGCTAACCCTTGGTTGCCATGCTAGCCTCTGGGTGGCAGGCTAACCCTTGGTTGCCATGCTAGCCTCTGGTTGGCAAGCTAATCCTTGGTTGCCATGCTAGCCTCTGGGTGGCAGGCTAACCCATGGTTGCCATGCTAGCCTCTGGTTGGCGGGCTAACCCATGGTTGCCATGCTAGCCTCTGGTTGGCGGGCTAGCCTCTTGTTGCCATGCTAGCCTCTGGTTGGCGGGCTAGCCTCTGGTTG